CCTGGCACACATCTCTGAGAGAGGGATTAACCAGTCGCACTGTAACAAACAGTGCTTCTCTGGTGAACACTTTTACATGGATCAACATCCAGGCTTGTAGATGACAGTATCTGCCGAATCACTTTCACTCATCTTTTAAAAGTTTGTTTCATTTACTTATAAGGTATATAATTTGTAAACACAACACTTACAGTAGCTTTAAAGAAAATGGCTCATACCAATGTCCACGATTGGTCATTTTTACATTGTATTAAGTTATTTTTGACAGAAAAGTAGTTTCTGCTTGAACCTGAGAGCCTCAGGTTTTCCCTGCTGCTGCAGATGAACAGAGTCACTAGGTTCAACTGCAGGTCAAAGCTTTTAAACTGAACTTGCAAACCTCATTTATTTTGTAGGTGCTCATTTTAATGAGTCATACTGCCATTTTAAGAGTTTATGTTTAAAACTGCATGCAATTAAATAGATTTGTATTAAAGAGAAGCGGTTGTGACACGTATATAATTTTGTTTGTTTAGTTTATTTGTTAGAAGTGGTGACTTCAGTCTTGTTAACAGAATTTAAAAAAAAGGTAAAATATGGGTTATATAGCAAATATAGAGCTACAGTATAAACATGAGTACATTTTTCCTACAAAACTGATAAATGCACATAAGCACTAAAATGGTGTGAAATGGCAATTTCATATTGTACAGTAAAAAATATACAAATACTGGGTTCTGCTACATTTGTAATTTTATTGCTGATGTATTTTCTTTATTTTATTTTCTACCAACTCTTTAAAAACTCAATGGTTTAACATTTTTTTCACCGAAATACTCAGATACACATAAGATTTTTGGTAAATTTAAGTCTTTCCTTCAGTGGCATATTGTTCTGATTAAATAGTCAATTTCCAAATGATTTGCTCAAAAATATTACCTATAAAAAGTTTTTACCAAAATGTCCAGGAGGACAGCACAAAACAGAATTTAAATAAACTACAAATAAACCAAGAGACACACTCAGTTAATGACTCTGTTAATGCTCACCGCCTGAGCGCAAATAGTAGTGTAAGTTTGATGTTTAGACAAAACATTTTAAAAACAGGATAGTTGCGTGAGTTTGCTTTTCCACCTAATATTCTGTTATCAGCAGGAGCATATTTTGGAGGCAAAGTAATACTGATTAATCATTCCCAACTTAAGTGAAACAAATCTATGCCTGCACTGAAAATAAATAGTTGTTGGTTCCAGGGTTAAAGTAACATTATTTTAAACAATAGCTGCTGCTATTGCAGCTGTTTAATTATTAATATAATTAGAAATTTAAAAAGAATTAGCAGAATAAATCTAAAGGGTTAAAGAACAAGTTGAGCCTAAATAAAGCTTTATGTCTGCTGCCAGATATTTCAGGATCTTTACTGAAAAAGAGACCAAATACACACTACTTAAATGCAGTTGTATTCATGTAGTGAGAAATACAAAATAAACTCCAAGAGCACAAGCCAGTTGCAGATAAACTGAAAGAACGTATCCATCAAATTAAATTATGTAACTAACTGTAGGAAGGATATAATCAGATATACAATTGTAATCTAAACTCTTTTATATAATTAGTGAATTAAAGTGCAGCAATTGTCCTTACTTGACCTTAGAATATAACATAAAACACAATAAATTTTAGTAAATGGTTTTAATTTGATTCTCTATTACGACAGTAGGCATGGTGGACAGTGAGGGTCACATTACTTACAGTTACAAAAAAATCACAGAGTTCATTTTGTCAAAGTGCCAAGAAAGATAAATAAGAGAAACTGAAAAAGGTGTCACTGTGAATAAAAAACAGTGATATTACAGAGAAAACATAAACCGAGTGAATTAAAAATAGAAATGAGAAATGAGTGTGAAAAGAACATGTCAGAGAAAACACTGGAATATTCACAAAGAAAACATAAATGATCACTGAGAAAGAATAAAACAGAAAAGGACTGAAAACAAAAGGAGATGTCAGTGAGAGTTTGTGTGCATATTGAGCGCCGCTGTAATGACTGAGGTTTGGGTCATTTCTATGTCAGAGCATGTCATTCTGCAGCAGCGCCTCCATGGCCCATATTCTGCCAGCTGGCAACACACAAGTGCATGCATGAGTATGCATCCTCCACTGACACGAATGCATACATGCACACAGACCAGATGAGACAGTAGTGGGGCAGTATTGTCATAGGGAAAGATGAAAACATTATACATTTATTCACGCAAATAAAGAACACAGCTTTTGCAGTCCTTGTCGTGCTTTAAAGATACTCATCTTGCAAATTCCTGCACTTACAGTATCTTTCTCAAGACCAGCAGGTATAAACTCTGTGGCATGAACACTTTCTCGTGTCAGATCTAAAAGGTAAAAAGGATCATTTGTCCGTGTAACCCTAAAGTAAAAGTCAGTGTACCCATTTGTTTCCTCTTGGCTAAATCTTGTGCAGTCTGATACCACTGTCCCAGTTCCATCCACAGAAGCATTAAAATATTTTTAAAGTTGCATGAGGAATATTAGCTTAGTTCAGACAAGCGGTGTAAATTGGGATGGGTTAGTTCACTTTACAGGACATCTCTGCCATTTTCAGAAACCAAAAACAAAAAAGTATGTAAATAAGGATAGAGACGTCACTTAGAAAAGAGAGGCCTGGGGCTGTGGGGAGTTAAAGAAAGAGTGTGTGGGACTATTTCTGTGTCATAGGGTCAAAGTGATGCTCGGAAATCAATAATCCACTCAGTGAGTAAGATAAGCCCCTTCGGGGGTCTATCACTGAAAATAATTGTGTCCAATTTAGCCAGAGAGGAGAGAAGTAGGTAAGAACTGAGAGATAAACAACATGTCCACAGCGTTATAAACACTACAATAAAGGAATACCAACAAAAACAAAAACACACAGAAAGGACAATGCAATCAGATGTGAAAGAAGAAACTAAATAAAAAGAAAATCGAGGGAAGAGTGACAAAAAAAGAAGTCAATCGAGAACACATTTAAAGAGCAGCTTTATAAACTGTCCATGTTGCAGATTTGCTGAATTGCAATGCCTCCACAAATTTTAAAACAAACCCATGAGAGGCAATAAAAGTCAAGAAGAACACAAGCATGGTACTCACCTAGTCTAGGCTGCCCTTATGGCTGACAGTCAAGCATAACTCCATCACACACATCAGTACCACCAACTACAACTGAAGAGAATCATCAGTAGGAAAAGAAGGAGCCATCAAAGGTAATGAGAAGATGTAAAAGTGTCCAATCAGATGTGTCTGTGTGGTGTGTGTGTGTGTGGTGTGTGTGTGTGGTGTGTGTGTGTAAGATGTGTCTGTGTGTAAGGGGAGATCCACTCCAGCCAGCAGTGAATGGTCGAGGAGAGCTCCGTCTCAATCTCTCTTTCTGGCAACTGTGACGCGTCAGGGTTACATCCAGACCCCTCCCTCCTCTCCGCTCTCTCAGTTTTTCTCTCATTCGCTCGCCTAATCCTTTTCTCTTTCCCTCTCTTAATCCCTCGCTTCCCCCCATCAGGCCCGCCTCCTAGTCTGAAGACTGATTAAAAAAAAACACATAAAGCAGGGAGCCAAGTGCGCACAAACATGAGCGTACACTGTATTTGTGGCATGTATTTAACATATACAAGCTGTTTTTCATCAGTTATGTTTATTCCAATATGGCTATTCTGCCAACATTGTTGGACAATAAACCAGCATTTCCATCTGCTCTATGTTTACTCACTTTATACAGTTTTACTTCTTAATAGATTTTGGTATGTTGTTGTAGTAACTTTTATATTCAGTTCCATAAATAATTTTCAGGACTTAAAAACAAACAAGCCAGACTAAAAGATCTACAGCACCTGTAAATGCAATGAAACAAATTTGAAGGTAACTTTTGAAAATTGTGAAAGAACAGAACTGTGCATTGCTGAATAAAAGAGCAAAACTGATTTTCTTCACATTTTGTGCAGTAGTTTTTGGCAGGGAGCAATGATGCATTGTATGCTTGCTTACTTTGCTTACTATTGTGCCTTAAGCCAACTTCTCCATTCAACATCTAGTTTGCTAACTCTGTTTCCTTTATTCTTAAAATATTCTTCCCTCCAGGTTGGAATGTGCTGGACTTTTTACAGCAGACCCTGAAATTCATGAGGGTTATTTTCTTAGAGAACCCATGGTGATGACTCTTGGTGAGATAAAGAGGGCATGAGTACAGTTATGAACTGTTAGTAAAGTTATACAAGAGATTTTGGGAGGAACATAATATCACAAAGCTAAATACCATCACTATTTACACCAAACTCTCTCATGAACCCGTTTACCCAATGGTTCAGCCAAACATCACAGGAAACCAAACATAATTATTTTATTTGTCCTTTAACCTCCTGTCTGCCCAACAACTGATTCAGCAAAACAAGGGTTTCTCTGTGTGCTCACTTTTTTACTAATGTGTATTTAACATCTAGAGTGCATTTTCTTTAGATCACTAACCCTAAAAGCAACCTCAGGTCATTTGCCTTCTTTGGTTCAACTGGGTTGATGCTAAATGTCTGGTTCACACAGTAAGATTTAAAAAATTGTCAGCTGATTTTCAAAACCTGAGAGACCCCACAGCTGACCATAAAAAGTCATAGATAGGACAGGATGGTCCTACAGTGTGTGATGTACAGCCACACATCTCGCAGAACCTCTCATGATCAAACGTGAGTTCAGAATAAATAAACATGTTAGATGAAGAAGAAGCGATGGTGATAGTTTGTGGACTATTTTTATCAGAGAAAAAAACGGATGTCTCTAAGATTGCCTAAATGTCAAAATTGATCAAAAATCAGTACAATTGTCTTGTCGTGTGAACCAGGCATTAGATGTTAATCAGCGGCTTAAGGTGACACATTTTGACAGATCCAGAACACATTTTAGTCATTGTTGCTTCATAAAGACTGACTCTAAAGTGACTCGCCTAACTCATATCTGTTCTCTGATTTATGATAAGGTAAACCTACCAGTGTTGATGTGATTGTGGTCTGTGGGCACTTTTAGATGCTTCCTTCTCCCCAGCTCTGCCTCAAGTAGAAAGTACCATCCCTGAACCTCCTAAAATGCAAGCACACACAAATAAAAAAAACACACATGTGTGATTGCATGTATTATGAACATATGCGTATAAATAATCATTGTGAGCTAAAAGATTCAACACAAAAAGGACAAACTGAAATGAATCATCTTGGTGACTGTAAAAATATGTGGGACAGACAGAAGCTCACAGAGAAAATGAGTTTGTTTGTCTGCTCCTTCAGGGCTGCAAATACACACAAACACACACACTTAGTCACAATGTTTTAGCTCATTGCCACATTTGATGCCTGAACATCTGCACTTCTGTGTTATAAACTAGATGAGGTGTGTGTGAGTGTACATCTGTGGTATTTATTTTACCATTCTTTGTGTAAATGACACCATGCAGCCTGTGGCAGATTGGGCCTGATTTATAATCCTGATGGACACAGTATTACTAACAATAGCTTGACAAAAATATTAAATTTTGCTGTCATACGTTTGCTGTAACACATATGCGCATGACTTCGACTTCCTTTTCACATTGAATAATGTGGTGCTGAGGATAATGGCAATAATCTCCATTTAAAAAGCATCTTATCGAACTGGACAGATTTCTACAAGCTGTGAGACAAGGGGGAGGATAGACAGTGAACTTATTAAGAAGACGGGGGGAGGGGAGGGCATATGTCCTGAAAAACAGGGAGGGATTTAAGCCATTGTTCAATATGACCCTGCCCATGCGGAAAAAGGGGAAAGATTGGAGCATAAAGAGAGCAAAGAAGTAAAATCACCACATGACATAAGAGCAAAAACAAATGATAAGACATGACAGCAATTACCAAAACAATGGCCAACACACATAAACCCAACACGGTTCTAAAGTAAAACAAAACAGAAAAGGCAAATAAACTGGGACTGACTTGCAGGAAAAGGATTAATGAAACAACAGAGGAGAAAAACGGATGTGGTGACAGTACACCCTGTGACTCAAAGCTAATTTTTTCTTATTAGCATATTAAGCCAATTAAATATTTATTGAGATAAATGTTAGAGGAAGCAAACACTAAGTCTCAATGAAATATAAATTGTTTTGATGTTTAATTTCCATGCAAATGTGGAAATTAAACAGCACATAATAATAATAATAATAATAATAATAATAATAATAATAATAATAATAATAATAATAATAATAATAATAATAATAATAATAATATCAACTATTGCAAACTATATTAGGAAAGTTTCTGTAATTTGTGAAATTGTTTTTATCATCTTAGAATAATGAAGAGATTATTTTTGTGCAGTGGACCTTTGTTCCTGAACTTAGTCCAGCTGTCTCCGGTCTATCACAAAGACTCAAAAGCACTCCTAATGTCAATAAAGAATCACCCTTTAATCCAACACACATTTCAGAACTGTGTGAGGAATCCTGGGTGCCAAAACAAAACCCACCCAGGCATGAGGAGGTCATGTAAACACCACTGAAAAGGGCCTGCACAGCTCAGAGGCAAACAAGGAACCTGTTCACTGTAAGGTGAAATAAATACCAAATGACACATACAAAATAAATCACAAAACAACACCCTGATCCTGAAACATTACAGGCCAAATATGTACATGCACTAATCACGAGACTGCAATATTTAGTTTGAACATGGAGCATGAAGAAAGCGTGCACATCTGCAGTATACAAACAAACAAAACAAAACATCTAAACTGCAAAATGAAAAAGATAAGAAAATCATTTTTGGTATTAAAAGAGCAGCGTTGCGTGATCCTGGTCTATCCACTATCCTTCATGTGTTCCTGCTTTAACACCAGAATTAGAGCTAATGAAACAGCTTGTTATCAGGTTTGGTGAGATTCTTTTAATCACCCATCAATTTAAACCAGGTGTGTTAAAGCAGGGAAAGATCTAAAACCTGCAGGGCAGTTTACACCGAGGACCAGGACTGAGACACACAGAAGAGTCGAGCACAAGTAAAACTGTCCACCTAACATTAACTTTAAATGGAACAGCAAGTGAACCAGTTACTGTGTTTTACTGCATGTTGTTTCCTTATATGTCTGACAAGCAATCGAAAAGTGACTAAAATCTGAAACACTTTACCTGAAATGTTCCTTCTAACTTTTAGTTTTAGTTCAATGGATGATGATGTGTGACTGTAGGAATGATGTTATCACCTCTGCCAAGGGGAGGAGGTAATGTTTTCGGTCGCGTCTGTCTGTCTGTCGTTCTGTCAGTGGACAAAATTACTCAAAAACTTGTGGATGGATTGTCAAGACATTCTTACCACATGTGGGTACTGGCCCAAGGAACACACCATTAAATTTTGGTGATGTTCTGGATAACGATGCGGATACAGGATTTATTTTCTTTTAATTCGAGCGAATCTGCCAGGCTACGCAGTGTCATTACGTCAGACGCATGCCTGTAGGCAACAGGAAGTACAAGTCACAAACTCGCTGGGACTACACATCCCAGTATGTGTACTATCAGGAAAGTTGTGATTATTCTGTTATCAACTACTTCTGGCGATATTACATGCTGTCTGGAGACGTACAAAAATAAATGTGATTCTTTTCACGTTACGGGAATAACAGGACACTGACAGCAGGAGGAGTGTCCTGCTGCAGCTGAGCCGAAGCTGGACTGTCCGCGGGAACAGTTGATCAACCCCTCTACATAAGAACTTTATTGTGTGATTGCTCTGAAGTTTGTGGGAGTGTTTGTGCTGAAAGCGCTCACGCTGTATTTTGCTTCACTCGCTTCAAAAAATAAATAAATAAAAATAAAACCCACTCGCTTCATGAGCTGACTTTACCAGGAAGCACTTTATAAAGAGAGTCAAACCATTACAAACTCATAAAAGGGGATAAAACAGACGTTTTACACTGTTAAATCTGACTGATGAAAACTTAGGAGCTTAATCCGACACCAGTTTCATGACGAATAATGTCAGGTGACGAGTCTGACTTTTTTTTTGCACATTGGACTCCACCGGGAAGAAATCCCGTGCAAACTGCCTGCTTAAATGTTCACTACGTCAGAACTTATTCAGCAAATGTGTTTCCAACTCTGCTTTTACGCATTAACTCCATTACAGGATGGGGGAAATTGGTCTTGGCGGAGGTTTGCATTCTCCGAGTGCTTCTAGTTTTTTCTGTTAGTTGGTGCCATGCTTTATAATTGATAAGAATAGAATGACCTGTCAACTCATCCAGGTGCTTAAAAGTACAGGTCCTGTTTGTTTTTTTTCCTGCACAAGTACATTTTTATTCTTGGATTTCAGCCTTCATGTCAACCTTAAAGGGGAGTATTGTGTTTTTTTCCAAACACATATTTCAACTCTTTACCACAATCATGTAATTATGTCACCTTCAATTGTTAAAAAAATGCTGTGTATATCAAAAATAAAATTGACTTTGCATCATAGTCTATCTAAAACACCTTGAAATTGGCCTCTGTCTCTTTAAGAACACCCTCCCATTTCCAACATTCCCTCTTCAGCACGTCTTCACAACAATGATTTGGGGAGGGTGCTCTGTGGTAGTTTTTCTGTGACCTGAGCTCCAGGGAGGAGCTTTGTGTTAATAGGTGGTGCTTTGTACCAGCAGGAGCTTAGGCAGCTCCACATGGACACGCCAACAAAATCAAGGATTTCTCAAACATGCATGAATGAGTCAAAGCAACACTCTGGGGATATTCTTGATAAGGGAATGATATTATAACACAGTATGAAGTGATTTCACATAATACCACCCCTTTAACATGATGGTGAGGTCATGCACTTGTCTGTTTAATAAAACCACTCAAATAATATTGTTGAAATGAACAAAACTGGTGATAGACGTGAAGCATGAACAGAAAATGAAAAACAGTGCAGATGACCTTCTGCAACAAAGCAAAATTCATATTTGATCATAGCAAGTAATGTGATCTAATGTAATGTTGTTTTATGTAAAACAGGTGAAACATCACCTTCTGCTGTGTTGAATCTAAAATAGTGATCTGCATTTCCAGATGGGAGATGGAGAAATGTATTCTGTAATAATTTTATATCTAGAAAGTTGTCAATTGTACAACTTTAATGAGTGCTACTTTAGACCACAAACAGCTAATGAGTTGTGTCTTTGTGACACAATGTGCAAATTTAATTTTAATTTCTCTAATAAGCATGGTGTTCTGTTTTAAACAAAAATACTATTTTATTGTTTCTGTTCACATTTTTCCTTTTATATAGTATTTAACTAAACACTGCAAAGGAAACTCAGCTGAAGACGTGGCGGTGCATCTTGTTTTATTTCCTGTTTCTTTTAAATGGAACCAAGTTTATCAATTAAACACGAGCACAGATAAAAAGAAACTTAAAATGTTAAATTATTTAAAAAGTAACAACTTTAGTGAAAATACCAAAAATATAAAAATGTGTAGAATACCAACTGAAATACAAGGATTTTGGTTAGAATATGTTAACTCTAATTCAGTGAATGACAACAATTGTGCTCTGAAATGCCTAATTTGTAAGTATAAAATTTGTGTTTGTGTTTCCTAAAACCTTTCAGCAGAGAGACTCAGTGACTCAAACTGTGTTCCCATTCCTTTATCTGGAGGCAGCACTGCAGTCCTGTGACACTGGTAACCTGAAAGTGTTTCATCCAAACTATTAAGGTCACTGGAATTCATTTACACTGAATTAAACTCTTAAAATCATGGTCTGATGGCTGAGAGACACACACACACACAGACAGCTGAAAAGAGCACAGACTATCTTTAGACCAGAGATTTCTCTGTGTTCAAACTTACCTTTTCTGCTTGCATAAGGGAGCGTACGCCAAAGCTCATGCAACCAAGCAGTGTACTCACTCTGTTGAAGTTGACAGGCAGACAGAAAATAAATCAGTAAAAGGAAAATCAATGAATACCCCAAAGCAAAACTCAGGTCTCATCTAATGTAATTCAAGTGCAACAGTTTATGTTTTCATATTTCTCCTGTAATGTGAAGCGAACCAAATAACAAATAAAAACAAATCAACTTTTTGCTTTTAACTGTTTCATCATACCATATGCTTTAATAAAAATATTTCAAATATAATTTTACTACATAGATACAGTGGTTTGCAAAAGTATTCATACCCCTTGAACTTTTCCATATTTTGTCACATTACAACCACAAACATAAATATA